GGCTCCCGGCCCCGCCTGCCGCGCTGCCTCTCCGGCGCCGAGCTCTTACCCCTTTCTGCGTTGTTGTTGAGGCGATTTCTGCTTTTTAACGTGGGCGAATGTGGCCAAGTTGGAGCGAAGGGAGGCTCCGGCTTAAAGACGCGTGTTTCCCAGGACGGACTCCGATCGGCAGCTCTAGAGAGAAGGGGTGTGTAGCGTAGGTCGTAGGCTCTGTAGTTCTTCACTTCAGAAACACAGGCGCCGTGCGCGGTTCAGGTGTGTCTTTAGCGCTTCAGACGACTTGAGCTGTTGTTCTGCCTTTTGGTCCTTCGAAAGAGACTTCTGCTTTCGCATCAGCAGAGAGGCAGCTTCTGGTTTCCTTCAGTACGGTAGACTGAGCAGAGAGTCACTGGTAGAGGAGGAAATAAAACAGTTTCAGTGCCTTAGATTTGTTGGTAGCTTTGTGAAGTTGTGTTTCTTAATAAAAAGAAGACAAAACTGACTAATTTTACTTGTGATGGAGCTCAAGGAAAGTGTAGTGCTGAGAATGATCCTTGCTCCTCAGTGCACACTTTGGATTTGCAGTCCCTATTATGAAGGTTTAAGGTGACCCATTTTTTAGGGAAGGGGTTACTAATGCATTGAGGAGGTTCTCAAGCTGCAGTCTTGGGGGTCTCAAGCTTTCTTCAAATGCAAATCCTTCAGATTTCTGCACAGGTTTTGGTGCAGAGGAGCCTGGTTTGGATGTTGCAGTGTAGCAGGTATGAATCTGCTGCTTTTAGCAGTCTCATGCAGACAGCTTGGCACTTCATAGACTGGTGGGTTCTAAACTCTGATCTGCAGACTTGGATCTTCTGCTGTGGGCTTGTCTGTCCTTAGATGAAGTTTATGTAAAGTACCACATCTGTTAGTGAGTATTTTTCTCAGGGACAGACTGGGCTGTTGTTGCTTTTCAGTCTTTCAGGCCTAATGCCCGCACTGTGTGTGCAAATGCAGTGGTTGCACTGACAGTGTTTTTGTAAGTCTTTAGTTAGGTGAGCAGCACTAACTGTAGACTCAGTAGAAATCTTCCTGTATTATTCATAGTTGAAAAAAGTGAACCCTAAAAGTTAGAGGGGAGATTGAGATGTGCTCTGAGGCACAAGCTCTTCCCAATGAGGGTGCTGAGGCGCTGGCACAGGGTGCCCAGAGAAGCTGTGGCTGCCCCATCCCTGGCAGTGTTCAAGGCCAGGTTGGGCACAGGGGCTTGGAGCAACCTGCTCTAGTGGAAGGTGTCCCTGCCCGTGGCAGGGGCTGGAGCTGGAGGAGCTTTAAGGTCCCTTCCAGCACAAACCAGACTGGGATTCTATGAAACATTTGCCTTGAGGAACTGAATATTTTTCCCTTGACCTTAAAAATCCAGGCTGACGTCCTACTTTGAATCTCACCAAGCAGTCCAGTAGCTATGCTGGGGGTGGAGTGGTTTGTCTGGCAGTTTTTTGACAGAAATGGTTGCACTATAGCTCTTTAATGAGTGACTTCTCTAACTGTGGGAAACATTTAAAAATAAGTGAGTTACCAAGCACTATATAGGAAACATCTTTCTTTTTGCAGCCCTGGCATGTGACTACCTTACGCTTGTAACTTCTGTAATATACAGTTGCTTGAGCACAGGGATTGCTGTTGACCCTGCAGCAGGCTGGGGGGGTTATGTACTAGTTGTATTTGCTCAGGGAAGGGCTAAAATCACAGGGGGGCTTTTTGAGTAGTAGCAGTGAGTATGTTTTTCACCACTGCAGCTGTAGTGTTTATCAGCTAGAGTGAAAGCTTTCATCCTTTCTTTAGGGTGCTTGAAAGGAGAGGATCAGCAAACATAACTCAGTTGTTAACAGACCCATCTATTTTGGTCTCTAAAACTGACATGTTATTTTTGTACACTTTTATTGTAGTTTAGGATCAGGCTGATTATATTGTGTCATAACGCTTGACACCAGACTAAAAGCAAAGGTTCCCTTAGGAATTACCGTTCCTTTCCAGTCTTAAAGCTCACAGTTGCTTCATTAACATGGTAGCTTTGTACCAGATCTGAATTTGGCTGATACAGCTGAAGTGGAAAATCCTGTGTTAGATCTGCTGCGATGAAAAGAGTAACTGGGATGTGCGTATCTTTGGGCAGCAGTGTTATTTAGACTTGCTTTAACTCTGGTTGCTTGGTTCTGCTCCAGGGGAAGTTATTGCCTCAGCTGATGCAGGAAACTCTTTACCAAAAGGCAAATGTACACTTTAGAATGAATAAACCCATTTGTAAGATTCAAGTCACAGGACTTTGACCAGTCTCTTCTAACATGATAAAGTCAAGACTATTTATTTGTGTTCTCTTACCAGGTGGTGTTCCACAAAATGTCTCCAAATGAGACTCTGTTCTTGGAAAGTACCAACAAGATCTACAAAGATGATATTTCCAACAGTTCATTTGTGAATTTCCAAATATGGGATTTTCCTGGTCAGATGGACTTTTTTGATCCCACATTTGATTATGAGATGATCTTCAGAGGAACTGGTGCTCTAATATATGTTATTGATGCCCAGGTAAATGCATATCACTGAGAATCACAAGGGAGTTTCCTTTTCGCTTTGTGTGTGAGAGGAATTGAGAAGCCGAAAATCTGTATTTTTAGCTAAGTTTAAGACATCTGTTATGTATGAAAGGATGCATTGGGAATCTGACTTTGGGTGCGTGGTTTTCTCTGTGAAGTGACTGGAACATATGCTCTGGTGGAGTGGGAAGGGGCGAGTGCTCTGAGCTTACCTTTCTACAGTAATAAAGAGAACCTGCTGTGCTAGATGGTCTTAGCCCTTCTCTCTGCTGTTGACTGCTGTGAGTTCATGTAATGACAACACACTTCAGGCCTCAATTTCAAGTTCTGGTACTATTTGGTATCTGGTAGCTTCTAAGGAACTTAGGAATTGTACCATGGGAGATTACCTGGTTGTTAGGACCATCTTGGGGATCACCTTTTGCTGGGGTTGAAGTGTAACCTGCCTTTTGCTCTGAAGCCTATTTGTGTAGCTGAGTCTTGTACAGCTAATGCCACTTAATGTACGTAACAGAACCTAAGCTACTTGGATTTCTGACACTCCAGAATATTCTCCTCTCCCAAACTCGGTTTAGTTACAGAAGGGAAGTTCTTGCACTGAAATATTTTGTCCTTGTGCAGAATGGAATAGTTATTGGAGATAAGCTTTGTCATTCATTCCTGCCAAAACTGATTTACAGGATGACTACATGGAAGCTTTAACAAGACTCCACATTACAGTTTCAAAAGCCTACAAGGTGAACCCGGAAATGAACTTTGAAGTTTTTATTCATAAAGTTGATGGCTTATCGGATGACCATAAAATAGAAACTCAGAGGGATATTCATCAAAGGGCAAATGATGACCTTACGGATGCTGGACTTGAAAAGCTTCATCTTAGGTGAGTTAAAGCCTGGCATGTGTGATTCTACTGCTGCTGATGTGCGTACAGATGAAGGTCTTTTAGATGGACCAGTGGATGGGCTGGAGCAGGGCCTGTTAGTTTCTTAATATTGCATAAACTCTTGTTATAAAATACACTGCTGAATTTATGGTCAAGCCTTAGCTGTTGGGCTGACTGAAATAAGGCAGACTACTGGATCACATTCCAATCAATGGATTTATTCATCAACTCGCCAATAATTCAAAGGTCTTTTGCATACTTTTAATTCAGCATTACAGGCTGAACTTGAACACGTGGCCTGGAGGGGGCAGGGGAAGGAGAGGGGAAGCTGCTTGCCTTCTGATCGGGGCTGGCACTGACTTCCCAGCATGTTTGGGTTTAAAAGCTTAGTCCCTTACTTGATGTTTGGCTCGCTTTCAAGGTGTCTTCTACCAGCACCTTTTAAAAGGAGCTATCTGTTCTCTGGTTTTACTGCTATTTTGATTCTCTTGGGGCCTTTAAGTACTGCCAGTACCTCTTGGTGAACAAAGTGGAAGACCAGGAATGGCACTTGAAGAAATCTAGTCAATCATTTAATGTCTTTGTCATAAGCATTCTGTAGGTTAAGCCTGTTGCGAAGCATATTGAAATCTTTCTCTCTGTTCTCCCATCTCCCAGGGACAGGGGAAATCTGTTTCATGTTTATTCCAGTTGCTCAGCAATGAGGTTCTTGATGCAGTGGCCAGTTACACTTGTGATAAAGGCATCCCAGCTAAATCATCAGGCCTGAATGTTAGAAAACATAGCTTTAACATTTCTATTGCAATTCTGGAATACTCTTGGGTCTTTGTTCTTTTTTAATCCTTTTCCCTCCCTCAGCTTTTATTTGACCAGTATCTATGACCATTCAATATTTGAAGCCTTCAGTAAAGTGGTACAGAAGCTTATTCCGCAACTGCCAACGCTGGAAAACCTACTAAATATCTTTATATCAGTAAGTGTTAATCTAACAGAACTTGGAGGGAAGTATGTGGAATGGTAAAGTGAGTCCCTCTGCTAAGGCGCGCTGGCTAGGTCTGCCCCTGGGAGATCTGGGTGGCTCAGTTATCTGGATTAGAAGCTCCTTACCACAGTTAAATTGTACGGGAGTGTGCGTTGTGTGGGTTTCTCTAAATACTGCCAACGCACACTCTGGCTGGTTAGAACTGTTGATCTGGAAGTTTTCTCCTAGCACAATATACTCATTAGTCTGCTAAGGCACTTAGTTTAATGTAGATATACTTGGCAAGAGACTTCTGTCATAATACAAACTTGGCCTTGAACTAAACTATTTCATGTGGCCTAGGAGACTTTTGCCCCTTGTAACGTTTGCGTTTCATATAGAATTTGTGACATAGAAATTTGCTGCTTTAATATAAAGTATTTGCTATACTTTAGATCCAGTAAAACATCACCCTAGAGACAAGGCTGCAGTAGCCTGTCTCATTTTAAGTTATGTCTGTGAGGCTGTTGCAGGCATGTGGACAACATGATAAAACCCACTTGTGATAAAGGGGAGCTGCGTGGGTCAGATGTGTTGCTCCACACTACTGTATAATGCTTGTTTCCTGTGTTGGCTGAGGACTGTCTGTAATAACCTGGCCCAGTGGATAATGGGCACATTAATGCTCACCCTGCTCAATGCCATGAGGTCATGGAGCATAGCCCTGATGCCAAAATGATGGCCTCAGGATGTAGGAGTATTCAGACTAGCAAGGAAGCAGTGATAAGGAATGCTTCTGGTGCATAAATGGAAATCAGGTTTTGCTAGAAATCCATTGTGTCTGTGTTGTAATGTCCTTAACAGCAGAAGGCTTCTGAACTTAGTATGAGCACGTGCACTTTGCCAAAGTTCTCAGTTACAGATGGATGGTACAACTGGGTCAGTGCTTCCCCTCACTGCCATAACGTGATACTTTTAATGGAGTCATAAGTTTAGAAGCTGACTTTATTTGCTCTGCATGTTAAACTACACAGCAAATGCCTTACACAGAAACTGAACTGCCAAGGTACTACAAGTGTCAAATTTAAGTGCTAGCATACTACTATGTTATACCTTATCTCTGAACCTGGTCCATCAGGTGGATGTGAATGTGTGCCTCTTCTGGAATTAATAAAACCACAGAAGAGGAAAATTGCTGAATTTGGGTTCTGGAAGCATAATAAAATGTAATTTTAATTATGATCTAGTAAATAATAAACTAAAAAGAATTCTAACAGAGTCCCCAGTTTTATTTTTGTCAACTAGAAGGTGATGCTGATATGTGCTATGGCAGCAAGTTGTGTTTATTAACTATATGCTTTAAATCGTGATTCTGTCTTAAGCCTCTGCTATGTTTAAACTATGTCCTGCTATTACGAGTGTGAAAGTGTTTGAATTCTACTTGAGATCTTAATAATGTAGTTATTTTAAAAAATTAATCCAAATTCTTTCTCTTTCTGAAGAATTCAGGCATTGAAAAGGCTTTTCTCTTCGATGTAGTCAGCAAAATCTACATCGCAACAGACAGTTCCCCTGTGGACATGCAGTCATATGAGTTGTGCTGTGACATGATTGATGTAGTAATAGATGTTTCCTGTATATATGGGTAAGTGATGAACGCTCCTTGGAAACCAAGTCCTTAAAAGTTGGAGAATAGGCTGCACACTGCACAAGTGGTGCTGGCTTTGTCATCCAGCAAGATGCTATTGAGTGCATCGTAGAGTATATTGGTTCTGTAACCAACTAGGAAAAAGCCAAATGATTTGGCAGCTGGATTGGGCATTTGTACTCTGTTTCCCTCTACTCCTGGGTTTAGACAGCCATCTGATACTTGTAAGTCAAGTGTTTCATGTAAAATGAGAGTAGTGCTGTGTCTCATTTAGCATGGTGGGTGCAAGGCTGTTAATACCTGCACATAACTGGGGCCAGTAGCATGCTGTAGCTCCAAAGTGTAACTTAGAGTCAGTGTTGCTTTGAGACTTGCTGCTATTTTGTGAGGCCAAGTCTTTTCTTGCTGCCTGTCTCTGAGGGGTGCATAGAACTTGTTTCTCACAGTCTACCCCTGAATTCTACTTCACAGTGGATTTTTGAAGTGGTTCTGGAGAAGCAGTAGCTTATTTCAGAACTGTGGTTGTAGCCTGGTAAATACAGTGCTGCCAAGAAATACCACAACACTTAATGGGCTGTCTGCTGATGGGTCAGCCCAGGGTTGTGTAACTGTTTGGTTTGGGATATTTTTCATGGTTTGGGATATTTTTCAGGAGCGAGTGCTTAGAAGTAGCTTGTGATACGTCATTTTTTTTCTACAGTATTTAACTAACACTAATTACTTAGAGATAGAAAGAAGCATCCTAATCTTTTCTAGTAAATGCAGGTTGCTTTAGCTTAAGACCAAAAAATGTCCTGCTTCTTGTTACACCCCTGTCCCAGCCTCACGAAGGAAACCTTTGTAGTAATTTACCAAAAGTAATTTTGCTGAGATGTGTCTCCATTGACATTTCTGCATAGAAGTCCTGCAGTAGAATCTTCAAGCTAATTGCTTGATACCTTTACTGTGGCACTGTAAAGTTGGTGAGACAGTGAGTGAGCAGCAGTGACTCTGGTTGGAAGGTAAACTGCTGTAAGTTTATGTTGTATATAACGTACTATATACTACCTCCATTAAGAATGCTCAGCTGTAAGCTCAGTATCCCCTAAATGTCCATAGCTCCTAGTTTGATAGCAAAATAATAAATGCTGATAACTTGCTTTTAGTTGCTCACCTAATATAGTGTCTGGTGAAGGTCTCTACTCTGTTTAGGTCTAGCTTTCCAGAGAAACTTAATACTATTGTAAGTAAGACCATTATCACACCTTAAGACCTGCACTACAAGTTCTTCACTTGCTCACCATTCAGTATGAGCAATATTCTTTTAACTACATTTAACAGGTACTAACATACTAGATACTATATTTACATACCAGATTGGTATTGGGTTTGGGTTATTGGGGATTGGTATTGTATTGGATTAACTTACTCTTTTTTTAGGTTAAAGGAAGATGGCACGGGAAGTGCTTATGATAAAGAGTCAATGGCAATTATCAAGCTCAATAACACAACGGTCCTGTACTTAAAGGAAGTAACAAAGTTTTTGGCATTAGTTTGCATTCTTAGAGAAGAGAGTTTTGAGCGCAAAGGTAAGGACCTCCCCCCCATTCCATGGCTTTTATCTAATGTTTTTTATCAACTATGAAATACATTAATACGACACTGCAAGTCACCTTGATTTTTTGTGTAACTAAAAATGTTTAATTTCTTCTGGGAGGAATTTTCTCCTTTCCTAGAGATAGGTATAGAGAGATCTTATTCTCATGAATCATTGTTGTCGTGCTGAAATGACTTGTGTAGCTAACGTGGCCTGTATCACAGCCATCTGCTGTGGTAACCAACTATATAGTTACTTGGACCTGTAGGAGATGATGGTACAAATGGTGTTGCATATGTTACGGGGTAGAAATGACAGTGTAATTTCAAAGTATTTGACTTGAATCATACCAGTCCTTCCCTTGGCATTTTAAAAAGAGAAAAAGCAGGTATGTTCTTTTAATAACTGTACTGTATTTGATCTCAAAGTTTTCCTTGCTGCAGTTAAGATGTCCATCAATGACAGGAAGTGCAAGATAACATTCAAGTGATGGTTGTGCTGTCCTAGTGTGGTTTTTTGGGGGTAGTCTTGTGTTGTCCCTTCGCCTGCTGTTTAATTATGAATATACACTTTGCATCCCAAATGAGTACCTTTTTCTAAAAACTGAGACAGTCTAAATAAATCCTGGCATCAATCAAACTTTGTTAAATCTACTGAGTACAAGTTCATACTAAAATAAGTAGCAAAATAGCTGTTGGTTAAATGAAACATACTGATTTTGAAGCTCTGTTGAGTACGTAAATGTGCCAAGCTGAGCACAGCTTTTCCTCTCCCCTTCCTTCCTTCTTGACAGGTCTGATAGACTACAATTTTCATTGCTTCCGCAAAGCCATTCATGAAGTCTTTGAGGTAGGTGTTGCCTCCCACAGAATCTGCAACCATCAGTCAAGCGCCTCAAATATGAAAGCAGTGACTCACAATGGCACACCCAGGAACGCTGTCTAGAGGAGAGCGAAAGGCCCTGGATAGACTTGTCAGCTCTTCACTCCAAATTTTTGTGGAACAAGAGAAGAGTAGTCTGAAAGCCTGAAGTAATGTTTCACAGGAGAAGAGTGGTGCGAACTGTGGAGCAGCAGCTTGTAACTCATGTTGGACAACTGAAACTACTGTAAAAATACTTTGAGGCCAGTGGAGTGAGAAATGCCGGTTTGAAACCAGCTTTATTGCAAGGGCAGTGGGTTTTCAGTTTAGAGTCCTGTCTTTTAACAGTCTGACTGGTTGCCAGGTCAAAACTTACAAATGAATGAATTTTGGGTGAAACACTGAATGGTCACTTGCTCAATTGTTTGGGGTTTTTTTTCCTTTTTTTTTTTTTTCTTAAGGATTAATCTGTAAAACATCCACTTTTGCTTAAGTTTACCCTTTTGTCATGAACAGCAAAAGTGGTGGTATTATTTAGGCTTGTGAAACTCAAGCTTTTTGTTTGGTGGGGCTGGTCTCACAAATCATTCCATAAAATAATTCTTGTTCTCACCGGTGTGCTCAGAGTATCCTCATGGATTCTGTTCTTGTTCAGTGGATGCAAGGTAGAGCTCTGTTCTAGTGATTCTGTGGTGGTTTGGAGAGCTGACCTGGAGCTTCATTTTGAGAGATCGTGATACTTTGCTTTCAGACCACGCTTCTTGGTATGTCCCCTTTGAAGGAAGGGAGGTATTAAAGCAGAAATAAACTACCTGCTCTCTTTTGCAAAAACATAGATGTTATAAATCTGTGTGATTAATCCTATTCACAAAACAACTGCATGGCTAACTAAACTGGAATGTCTGCCATCTGTTGGAGTAAAGCAACCACTTTCAGCTATTCCCAAATGGAGAAATGATAAAGTTACTGGCTTCTGATGGTGGATCTCTCTCTACCCTCACTGATAACCAAGACAATTCCTAGGAAAATGTCTGAGGGCATTATCCTTGCATGGCAATTAAATATCAGTGCGCCACAACCTACTAATAATACTGGACCTTGAAAGTGTGTTGATTCTGTACTGTGGCAAACACCTTGTTTGTTGCCATGCAATCCGAATAGAATAGTGGTTTGTTATTTTTTTCCTGATTTTGTGAATGCTGGCTTTCATACTATGGGAAGTATATCTGAATTCTTTTAATCTAATTTATTGGTATTGGTATTATTACTGCAGATGTCATACTGTACGTCAGCCTTGCTATGCAGTAAGCTCAGCTACTGGCCCGTAAAGATCTCGCCTCTTTTTACCTGTCCCTGTGTGTGTATCGGTGTTGCGAAGCCACTGGACCAACTGACTATATAAAGTGCCACTATAAAAGTTTCTGCAAGAAGATCTGTACCTGTAAGCAGTCTCTGCAACTGATGTATTTATGTGGTCACAAATAACCACGGGATTGCTTCTGTGCTTAGAGAATGGATTTTCATCGAACTATGTAAAAAAGAATATACATGAATTAACATTAGGTTGTATGCACATGCTGTGTAAATGTTTTTCCTTTGTTTTAAAGATGTTGTACAATACTAAATACATAAAGGATCTGCTCCCAAAGTTACTAGGAGACTTGGGAATTCAAGTGCTTCTACTTCAAGTCTCTTAGTAGCAGTTGTGGTTCTGAACTGAGGCTGAGCCCCTTTTTGGTAATGGAACAGCAGGGTTTTTTTAAGGAAGTGCTGCGGGCTTGTAAGATCAGGTTTTGTGGCTTGCAAGCTCAACCCCAGTGTTCTGGTACTCGAGGTGAGAGAGGAAGAAACTGGCAAGATGACGGGAAGGAAGAAATCATTCCCATTTGTGCAGTGAGTTTTCCATGTTCAAAGTACACGTGTATGTTCCTTTCTTTGTCTTCACTCTCTACCTGATTTTGTGCTAATAAAATGAGAAAAGATCAAACAGGAGCACTTGTTTCTGTCAGAGGGTGAGACACTTCAGCAGCAGTCTATAGGGACCTATAAGCTTAAGCATATTTAAAAAACCCATGTTAGGTTCACAGTATTTTTAAATACCACCTTCCCATGTGAGGCTTTAGTCAGCCTAAGCCTTCCTCTCAGTGAGAGCTGGCCTCAGACTCAACACTCAGTTTTTAGAGGATGACTACACTTTAAAGGTGTGTATTATTTTCACTGTGTGGCAAACAAATTAGAACTTACACTGCTAAGGAAAAAAAAGGTGCAGAAAGAGGGAAAGGGAATAAAATCCTTTAAGCAATAAGTAAGGGATAAATAAGACTGTCAAGGAATAAATAAGATCTTGAAGGGGTAAATAAGATCTTCAGTGGGTAATTAAGATCTTGAAGGGGTAAATAAGATCTTCAGTGGGTAATTAAGATCTTGAAGGGGTAAATAAGATCTTCAGTGGGTAATTAAGATCTTGAAGGGGTAAGTAAGATCTTGAAGGAATAAAGATCTCTTTCTGTTGAAGACTGAGGTGCTCCCTTGTGCGGTACCTCTCAAAGCACCAGCCAGTTGCTGATCTCAGGCTGGGTTTCCAGTTCTGGAGGGGAGGAAAGGAGGGAAAAGCCAAGCCTGGGATGAGGGGGCAGAGCAACACAAGATGGTGTCTGTCTGCTGTCCTGAATCACATCGTCAGCCAGGTCCGAAAACACCTTTAAGCTCTTCAACCCCAGCAGTGCCAAGGCCACCACTGACCCCTGGCACTGAGGCCTCGTCTACCCGGGGTGTGAACACTCGCAGGGACGGTGGCTCCAGCCCTGCCCTGGGCACCCTTCGGTGTCGGTTCAAACGCGCCAGTCGAGGAGCGGGCGCTTTTCCCGCCCTTCCCCTCAGCCCTCCCCAGAGCTCCGCACCTGAGCGGCAGCCGCGGTCGCCGTGGGGC